AAGCTGTCACCCAAGCTATATGATTAGACTGCCAAATCACTGGTAAGCTAATCTTAGATATATTTTTTAAGGCTCTTGGGTTTTCGGAGGGGTAAATTAAGTAAGGCTTTAACTTGCAGTCACCACCTGCATTCCCGCCGACCGTCACTGTCAATCGGTCTTTAGAATTCTTAAAGTTTGGAAAGTATTTTTCTTCGTTATACTGCGATAAAAGCTCTTTTAAGCATCTTCTTCCAGAACAAGCCGGTCTCCTCTACGGTAAATACTGTTTCACCGCTTCAGTCACCTTCTTCTCTCATGGCTTTGCGTGTCTCAGGAATAGAAGATGCAGCTTCGTTATCGGCATTTGCCGCCTCTCCACTCCCCGCGATGCTGTGCCAATTTAAGGGAGTTTTAAACCGGTTCAACCAACCGTTACTAGCTACAAAGTTTTCATCTTTGCTCGCCTCTCCAACTTCTTCTTTCAACCTCTCAAAAATCAGCTTAGCTTTATTGCACACAGTGTTCTGATCGACAGGAGTAGTACTTCATTAGACAATCGATGACTACAGGCTCGAAAAAGCTACCAACAACCAGAATAGAAATAAAATTTTGCTACTCGGATAATGGCCATACCTAATTATAACTGATAATTTGGAAACTTTACACATTTTAGTGATTCAGATTTAACCAGTTGACACATTATCAGCTTATCCCCTGTTTAATTATATGTTAAATATGATTTGTCCATTGCTTATGCTTTAATTTATGTCCATCTTCACTTCAATTTACATGACCGCTTCTCATTTCGGGTAGTGGAGGCAGACGTGTCAGACAGTGCTTCCAGCGCTAACGATCTTACACCACCGTCTGGGCTTCGGTAGAAAACAAACGAAGTCTAGAGCAGTCTCCATACATCTGCACCAGGTTTATCTTGACCGTCCCCGCAGCCATCTGCCGAACAACTGGGCAAGTAGTAGTCGCTTCGCCTTTCTTCCTGGACAGCATTCGCAACACGTGCCCAAACCATTGCAGTTGTGACTTCTCAGTCTGAAGAATTAGCAGCTGTAACGTGGACTCCCTCAGATATCTGTATTCCGGTCCAAATCGAGAGAAGTAAGGCCCGCGACTCTTCTCAGAATGCCCGTTTCAGCCTTTTGTATCCGGGTTCGAAATTTCTGTCACGATGCACGATTCATGACCGTAAGAAAGCATGGGGAATGAAGATCGACTTGAATACCGAGAGATTGGTCTTCAGACTCAATTCTTCAGTTTTACTTGATTATCACACCATAATTTCAGCATTGTTTCCATCTCAGCAGTAATACCATGACGCTTACGAAATATGCATCAGTTCAAGGATTGAGCATTTTTCACCGCATCGAGAATTCTTTTTTATTTTTCATGACTGTTCTCACTGTGGATTCCGGTAGCTCAAATTTTCTGCCAATTCACAAATTTTCATTCTGCTATCAAAATCCTTGATAATGTTAAGTTTACATTCCAAAGATTTCTTTTACCTTTTCATACTAGGTTCAGGAGAATCAGAATTTCTTCGTTCGAACTACAGTTTGTTTAAGGGTTCAGAAAACGTATAACAAAACAGTTTTAAAGTTTTAACTGTCGTCGATCGCAGAGTTGTAATCGTACGAAGACTATGCGCGAAACACGTCCAATGCGTATGACAGCAAAAGAAACAGTGAAGATAGCGGGCGGCAGTGTTTTGCCAAACGAAAAAAAACCTGCGTAACTTCGAGTTCGCGTAAGTCGGGGTAGCCCAAATCAGGGTATTACTGTATAAGTTTAAATGATAAGATTAAAATTGATAAATACCTTATAATATGCTTCGAATAGCTTTTGTAAGCAACGGTAGAGCTGGATTTCGTATTTGTGAGACTTCAGAACTTTGTTTTTCGTACGGCTTTTCTTTTTTTCTTGACCCTTCTCCATTTTTACTGACAGTTTAAAATTATAAAAATGCTCATTAAGAAAATAAGAACATACCTAAGATAATATTCAGCTGGCTGACGTTGGACTCCCCGCTTTCAAGCAGACTGATCAGCCACTTATAAGTAAACTCGGAGAGAAACCAATAGATATAGGAATATTCATACAAAGAATACAGCTCCAATTCAAAGCCGAGCAGCAGGTAATCGGACATAGACAAGAAAATTAAGTATAGAATGTATGAACCCAGACATGAAGGATGAAAATAGCCAACGCAACATGACGCAATAACGGGACGCAGCATTTCGTCCATTTTGTCAGCCTGAAGCAAAAGAACGATCAATTGAGTAATGCAACAAGAAAAATGAAAACAAAGGAAGCGATTATCGTCGACGTAGAGAGCATCCAGAAACCACCAGGTCACTTATAATTATAAAATGAAAAGCGTTTATGAACATCAGAAATAACTCCTGCATTTTTTATCATTATCTGAAGGCATTCGACGAGTATTCTCCAATGAAAAATTCTTTTCATTAGCCAAACTAAGTTATTTGTAGGTCATGAAAATAAAACAATATACACGTGCAAATGGCCTTTCCCTATTTTAAAGCATGCTTTGAATTTAATTCGTTCCATACATTATTCATCCTGGTTCACCAATAACCTTCTAAGGCCAGTAAACAGCCATAAATTATCTTGTTTAAGAGGTAAGATATCTGTTTTAAATGACATCCAAAGTATCAAGGGTGAAGCATACGATATATTTTTTACTACAATGCACACAATGTCTATATCGCATGAGGTAGCAACTCGCGTTTACAGCCCTAGGCAGCAGAAATTCGTCTCCCCCATTACTACCAGCCTGAATTCAACAACGAATGAATGAAACTCCTCATTCTCATTACTAACATCCTATTTAGCCAACCGGATGGACACAAAACTTGCCAATGATAAATGCACTAAAAATAATGACAAATAATTGAACCCTGAATGAGGTCGGCGAGACGCACATCGAAACGTTAATTCAAGATTTACCAACCTGATAAACTCACAGCGTAAAATTACGCATAATAAATAGGTTGTTTCCACGTATTCACAGCATGAAAGTCACTATATAAACGAAGTATCCGATATTGTATTTCGTAACATTGGTGAAGTAGCACGTCGTTGAAAGTCATCATGAATTTCAACTCAAAATACAAGACGCTTTACCGTTTCCAAATACAAGCCTTTAAGATGGGTAGAGACAACGAACGAAACCGAAAGTCGGAAAAACTATACTGAGAGTACGATTATGATAGTTCAGTAAGTGGTGAAAAAGAACAGAATGACAGTCGAACAGAGTTGCTCTCACCTCTTCCTGTAAAACAGTTAAGTCCTTGATAACGTTCACCATTCTGTCGCGCTGACGGGCTCGGTTATAGCACTGCAGACGCAAAAGATCGCGAAAAACTCGCACACACTTATCGAAGAAGTTTTCACATTCATCGCAGCGACCATTCCAGCAAGATTTTAATCTAAATCAAAGCTTGAAATCGAAAGACTAGATTGAATCACTAAATAAATAAATGTTCAAGCATGAAAATAAAAGCAGCAAATGATTCACATGCCAAAAAGCGTGAAACATTACTGAAAGGGAAAACTAAAAAAATAGATAACACAATTCTACAACACCAGGACCATGAATGAGAATAATAAGTCACTGTACAGTGAAAAACCAGGTTGTGCTCATACGATCGGCGACCTCATTTAAATAAAAAAAATTTATATCCATTGAGCAAATTTGGTAGCCTGAAATGGCGGTTGCTTTTGCATTTTGGTCTAGAAGTTATGTAGTCGACGAACACTGAAGAATGCACATGGAGGCTAAACTCCCTGGCAAAAGGATTTCCCAAGAAACAACAGTTATCCTTGATAACATATTTCAAATCAACTTAAGAATGCACTTTTATTTAGCACATCTTCATTCATAGAGCAGCTCTGTACAAATTCGAATAGGACAAACTTTGAACAGAAGACAAGAGAGGGCAAAAATGCTCTCACTGTGAACTGTCGCAAATACGAATGCACAGACCACAATTTCGGTTACAAAAAATTTATAAATTAAGTAAACCTATTGTCCGGCTTTTCAACGTAGTAATATTCACAAATTTATTGATCCAGCTCGCCAGTGAAACGCATTCTGCCTATGGCGATCCAACATCGTTCTAGACTTTTTCTTCCGAAACTATGGCGAAGACGATGGATTCATTATAGATGGAGGCGCACTTCCTGCTACATGTCCGGCTACATATCTTACTCACTCCGAGCATACACATGATATTGTCCTAATCAGTACTACGGAGAGCGGGATTCAGCATTTGGCAGCTTCCGTACGCAACATAGATTCGAAGGCGGTCCACTTTCTTGGCGCCTGTAAGTCAGAAGTTATGAGACAGCTCAACGGACATAGCTTATCTTCATCATCCATCGCCGCTTCTCCTTTCAGGTCGCGGAGGGATACATATCAGAGAGCTTCCAGCGTTCCCGATCCTGTGCCAGAGTCTGAGCGTCGGCAAAAAACATGGAGTCAGGAACAGATTCCTTCCATATTTTTGCACCAGGTTAATCTTGGCCGTACCCTGGACCTTTTGCCGGTCGGATTTACAAGGAACAGTTGCTTAGCCTTTGTTTCTGGAGGCATTCGCAACACATGCCCAAGCCATCGCAGCTGTGA